CCGTCTTCGCCGCCTCCGCAGCCTGCTGTTGTGGACTCTGGAGCTGAGACTACTGGAGCTGGGGCTGGGGGTGGTGAGTCTGGGGGTGCCCGCTCTCCTCGTCTGGCTACACCCCCCGGGTTCCCACCTCTGCCGTCTTCGCCGCCTCTGCAGCCTGCTGCTGTGGACACTGGAGCAGAGACTGAAGGTACTGAGCCTGGGGGTGCTGGGACTGAGGGTACTGAGCCTGAGGGTGCTGCGACTGAGGGTACTGAGCCTGCGAGTGCTGAGGCCGAGAGTCCTACCTCTGGGGGTGCTGCGAGTTCGGGTGCTGACTCTGGGGGTGCTGCGAGTCCTTCTGGTGTTGGTGTCGTCGGAGCTCCTACCGGAGGACCTGGAGCTACTGGTGCTGGAGGTACTGGAGGTGCTGCTAGTGCTGGAGGTCCTGGAGGTGCTGCTGGTGCTGGAGGTCCTGGAGGTGCTGAAGGTACTGGAGGTGCTGCTGGTGCTGGAGGTCGGGGAGCTGCTGGTGCTGCTGGTCCTGGTGGAGCTGCTGGTGCTGGAGGTACTGGAGGTGCTGCTGGTGCTGGAGGTCGTGGAGCTGCTGGTGCTGAAGGTACTGGAGGTACTGCTGGTGCTGGAGGTCGTGGAGCTTCTGGAGCTGCTGGTGCTGGAGGCGCTGGAGCTGCTGGGGCTGGAGGTGCTGGAGGTGCTGGAGGTCCTGGTGGAGCTACTGGTGCTCTTCGCCACCTTCTCAGTCTTCAGCCAGGTGCTACTGGCTTCCCTGTGGCATGTACTACTCCTCCGTTGCTGTGTCCACCGGCGGACCAGTCACAGCCGCCGCTGCTACCACACTCCCCACTGCCTGCTCCTGCTCCTTACACTGCGGTGTCAGAGTCCCTGACTGAGCGTCGAGAGCCTGAGACTCGTGCTTCCACCCCTGAGCATCGAGAGCCTGAGTCTAGCTTTGACCTTGAGCCTGAGCCTAGAGCTGCTGTCCGTGCTCGTGTTCCTCGTGTTCGTCGTCAGCGTGCTCCGGCTGTCCCCGGCACTCACGATATGACACTCCGTCCTTCCTCTGTTCCTCAGCGTGTTGTCCTACCGTTACCTCCTGCGTCCTCTTTGCCTGACGTTGCTGACCCTCCGTCTGACCTTGCTCGTGCGTCCAGTCCGACTGTTACTCGCCTTCTTGCTACGATTGTGACGGACCCTACGTTCTCGTCTCCTGCTGCGTCTGCCCTAGTAGCTGAGCTCGTTGACTTTGCTGCTGTGTACCGCCTAGACTACCTTGCGAGTCTTGTCTCTGACCCTGTCCCTGCCTGTCCTCCGTCCGTCGGGGGTGAGACTGCTCTTGGCTGCACTGCCCTTGGCTGTGACGTTCTTGAGGACAGACAGGAGGAGCTGGAGTGCCTTGCTGCCGCTTCACCCCATCACGCGACCATGCTGCTTGCCCCTGAGGGAGACCCGGATGCACTTGACATCCCCACCCCGCGCTCCTACAGGGAGGCGATTTCGGGTGAGTACTCCTCTCAGTGGCAGACAGCCATGGACGCAGAGATGGCTTCCTGGAAGTCCACAGGCACCTACGTCGACGAGGTTCCCCCACCTGGGGCGAACATCGTCAGTGGCATGTGGATTTTCAGGGTGAAGCGGCCGCCGGGTTCTCCGCCTGCCTTCAAGGCACGTTACGTTGCTCGAGGCTTCAGTCAGCGTGAGGGGGTCGACTTCTTTCAGACCTTCTCCCCCACCCCGAAGATGACCACTCTTCGGGTGTTGCTACACGTTGCAGCTCAGCGTGACTACGAGCTGCACTCCCTCGACTTCTCGACAGCTTTCTTGCAGGGTAGCCTTCACGAGGCCATCTGGTTGCGCCGTCCACAGGGCTTCACTGGGTCGTTTCCTGAGGGTACCCAGTGGAGCCTACGGCGACCAGTGTACGGCCTGCGTCAGGCGCCCCGTGAGTGGCACGACACACTGAGGACGACACTTGCGGCTCTTGGGTTTGCTCCTTCGACTGCTGACCCGTCGCTGTTTCTACGCACCGACACTACTCTGCCGCCGTTCTACATCCTCGTGTACGTCGACGACTTGGTTTTTGCTACTGCTGACACTGAGGCACTGGCCCTAGTGAAGGCGGAGCTGTAGGAGAGACACACCTGCACTGACCTGGGTGAGCTGCGGAGCTATCTTGGCTTGCAGATCACCCGGGACAGAGCACGGCGCACCATCACCCTCACTCAGTCACACATGGTGCACCAGGTCCTTCAGCGCTTCCGCTTCACGTACTCCTCGCCACAGCCCACTCCTCTAGCTACCGGCCACTCGCTCTCAGCTCCACCTTCGGACTAGTCCATAGAGCCGAGTGGTCCGTACCCAGAGCTTGTGGGCTGCCTCATGTACCTGATGACGTGCACACGACCTGACCTCGCGTACCCTCTCAGCCTTCTGGCTCGCTACGTGGCACCCGGTAGGAACCGAAAGGTGCACTTTGATGCTGCGAAGAGGGTACTGCGTTACTTGTGCAGTACATCGGGCATGGGGCTCGTGCTTGGAGGACGGGGTTCGGTGGTCCTCACAGGTTACTCTGACGCTTCTTGGGCCGACGACCAGGCGACTCAGCGTTTGTCACAGGGCTACACCTTCAGTCTTGGCGCTGGTTCTGTCTCGTGGAGGTCCACTCGTTCTTCTTCTGTGCTTGGTTCCAGCTGTGAGGCCGAGATCTACGCTGGGGCCATGGCTGCACAGGAGCTCCGTTGGCTGACCTACCTGCTGACCGACTTGGGGGAGCGGCCTCGTTCTCCTCCAGTTCTGTACGTCGATAACAACGCAATGCTTGCCTTGTGTCGCGAGCAGAGACTGGAGCACAGAACGAAGCACATTGCTCTGCGCTACTTCCTTGCACGTGAGCTGCAGCAGCGTGGTCAGCTGCGCCTTGCTTTCGTGGCCTCTCGGGCCAACACTGCTGATGTCTTCACCAAGGCCCTTGCGGCTGGTGATCATCAGCGTTTCTGCACTGCTCTTGGGCTTGTGCCCACTCTGCCTCACCTGCTGGTTGCTTGACTTGCTCTTGTTGTACACTGCTATATATCTTTATACCTGCATGTTTCCTCTTGCTAGGTTGTGATCTGTGTACTGCCTTGCTCTTATAAATCTGCATGTGAACTGGCCTTGTGGCTGCCTGCTTGTGCTCAGATTGTGTGGTGTCCTTGAGATCCACCCTGGGCTTTGCCTCGCTTGTTCTCTTGCTTGACTGGTCTTGTGACCACTGTTAGGCTTGGCTATCCCCTACTTCACCTATGGGGGTGTGTCAAAACATATTGTTCTGCTTATTTCACTCTAGGTTGTGTAGGGTTCTTTCCCTAGAGGGTACAACAATCTCTCTCGATAGTCCTTGTACCCCCCCCCCCCTTACCTAATCGACACTTCTCATCTAGCTAGTAACTTTAACAAAGAAAGCATGACATGACAAGAAGGTGCACTGCCTTACAAGAACACAATATAACTACACTATCATAAACTACAAGCAGTTGTATAAAATATGTAATAACATAGTTTGAAAATTAGAATGGTTTTTGGGGGGTCACTCTGACGTTTCTGGGTTTTTTTTTTTGGAAGTTAAGTTTTCTTTGATTTGCAAGGGTTTTGATTTTAGGTACTCTGATAGACCAGTGTAAATTTCTGGCGAATGCATTTTTCTCTGTACAGGGTACAGAAATTTCGACCGAGCCCACCCTTGACTTGGTGGGAAATGACAAGCAGGATTAGTAATCTGTAGTATACGTGCATCTCCCACTTGTGCGGTGAGCGCATAGCACAACGGTAATGGTTTGTAGGAGCGCAAAAGGCGTGGGTTTAATACTTGGGAGGACATTCAGAGCCGGAAAAGTTAGTACACTGATTGTCCAGAGTTTTTTTTTTCAGAAGTTAAAATTTCTCTGACAAATCAGAGTAACGCTCATGATCAACCCAGAATTTCAGAGTTCCCAAAAAAACAACTCTGAAAATTCGAGAAGTGAAAATCCAAAAAAGCCCTGTTTGACACGTTCGTGTTGGTATCCCAAAGCCTATGTGCACACTGATATAAAATCCCCCAATGCTTTGTATAACAGGCGTAATCTCTGGATGAGGGAAAGTTGAGCTGTACTGCAAAAAAAAGTGGACTGTACACTTTATGACACACAACAAACACCTACTCATCCCACTTCTAATCATATTCCAAACAAATATCTCCCACTCGAACATAATTGCCCGTCTCTACGTTTCACATCGCACCTGATCATATCGAGGTACAAGTCGAGTCAACTCTGAAATGAACTGGCATTTCTGTCGCTTCTGCGAGTCCAGACAAAGTCTGCGGTTGCCTCAGGCAATGGTACCGTACTGTACCGTGGTGGCGGTACACCCTTACTCTCGTTTCACTCCGCTTCCCCATGTCGGACCTGGCTCCTCTCTCGCACTCGTCACATTCAGGGGCAAAATGGGACGGAATGCTGTACCGGGGTTACCACCTCATCTACAAGTGCCAATAATGTGGGTGGCCTGAGGTGTTTTGTCGAGGTCACAAAAATCTTGATTTTGTCGTGAATTGAAACTTTCAGGCCGTTCCCCGTGTTTGTCAACAATGCTCCTAACGAGTGGTACGTAACCTGTTCAGAGTGGGCGAATGAGTGAGCATTAGGGTGTAGCAAAGCTATCAACAACCTATCTTCTGTGACAGCAGCAACTATCGTAGTAGTCCGTACCGTTACATGTGGTCTGCGAATTCAGCTATTAGCGAAGCTTGAGCCGTAGCGTTATTAGGGTTTCGTTCTCTTCAAACGCATTGTCTCCGATTGTCGCGAGCAGCATCCTTTGTCCGTAAGCTTCGCGCAGCCCTCATTTCGCGCACGTATTCTTCGCACATACCGCTCGCATGTGTCGCCCACACGTCGCACGGTGTCGTCGGGGGCGCCAGCCACAGCGCGCCGCGAGAACCTCTTGCGTGCTGCTGCTTCTGGCGCTCGTTTCTGCCTTCCCGCAAAATGCGGCGTCTATCGCGGCCAGCATGCCACCTGGCGCGGCCAGCCCGCAGGAGCAGCAAGCAGAGCGTGAGCGGCTCTTTACTTGCGCTTACCCAGCTCCCTCGCCGCTCCCTCGCCGCTCCCTCGCCGCTCCCTCGCCGCTCCCTCGCCGCTTCCTCGCCGCTCCCTCGCCGCTCCCTCGCCGTTCGCTCGCCGCTCTCCCCGCTCTCCCCACCCTCCGCTCTGTCCGCGTTATCCTTGCGCTCCGCGCTCTCCTATCTCTTCTCCCTGCTCGCTGCTCTCTGCTCCTCCTCTCTTCCTCTCCTGCTCTCTGCCAATCTCACCTCCCCACTGCCTTCCCCCTTCCTTCCCCCTTCCTTCCCCCTTCCTTCCCCTTTCCTTCCCCCTTCCTTCCCCCTTCCTTCGCCCTTCCTTCCCCCTTCCTTCGCCCTTCCTTCGCCCTTCCTTCCCCCTTCCTTCCCCCTTCCTTCCCCCTTCCTTCCCCCTTCCTTCCCCCTTCCTTCGCCCTTCCTTCCCCCTTCCTTCGCCCTTCCTTCCCCCTTCCTTCGCCCTTCCTTCCCCCTTCCTTCGCCCTTCCTTCCCCCTTCCTTCGCCCTTCCTTCCCCCTTCCTTCGCCCCTTCCTCCCCTCTTTCATTCCCCCTTCCTTCCCCCTTTCTCCCCCCCTTCACATGCACGCACGCAGGCGCAGCGCTGCTGGCGTTCTGGGAGGCGACGGGGCGAAGAGAGGGGTTGGGGCGAGCGGGTGTGCAGCTTAACCATCTCCCCACCTCCTCCCCCCCCCCCTCATCCCCCCTCGCACAGACGCAGCGCTGCTGGCGTTCTGGGAGGCGATGGGGCGCAGCGAGGGGCTGAGGGCGAGCGGGTGGGGCAACGCGTCTCTGCCTTGTGACCCGCGCAGGCCGCCGTGGGGAGGCGTGCACTGCAGCCCCACAGGGCACGTGGACGGCATGTGAGTGGCATGGCGCTGCTGTGGCAGATGGGACAGACAGCCTTGCATGCCTTGCCATGGCATCAGTGTGGGGCAACTCATCTCTGCCGTATGAACCCCAAAAGGGGGGGGGAGGGGGGGGGGGGGCGTGGACGGCATGTGAGTGACATGGCACTGCTGTGGCAGATGGGATGGCACGGCTTGGCATGGGGCGGCGTGCATGCACTCTACAGGGCACGTGGTAGAGAGAAGGGACCTTGCAACCTTTGTGAAAGAGACAACCTTGCATGGCATGGCGCGCCATGCCAGTGAGTGAGCTGCCGTACAAAGGAGTGGAGTCCCTCAGGGGCAGCAGCAGCAGGGGCAGGTCCCTTGAGCGGGCATGCTTCTCATTTGTCTTTTCCTGCTGTTCTTCGTTTTCTGCTCTCATGTTTGTTCCTCCCTTCCAGCTATCACCACCCCAACACCATACCAGCGACCTGCCATACAAGGGAGCGGAGTCCCCCCAGGGGCAGCAGCAGCAGGGGCAGGTGCCGTGGGCGGGGCCTGATCCCTTGAGTGGCATGCCTCTCACTGCTGTTCTCCTGTTCTTGTGCTGCCCCATCCCATCCCATGGGCCGCGCCATGCCAGCGAGCCGCTGCACAAGGGAGCGGAGTCACCCCAGGGGCAGCAGCAGCAGGGGTAGGTTCTGTGCCGTGGGCTGGGGCAGATCCCTTGGGCAGCCATGCTTCTCATTTTTCTCCTTCTCTCCTCACTCTTCCCTCCCCACCACCACCAGTGAGTTGCCATAGAAGGGACCGGAGTCCCCGCAGCGGAAGCAGCTGCAGGGGAAGGTGCCATGGGCAGGCATGCCTTTCATTTTTCTTCTCCTCTTCTCATTCCTCTTCTCCTCTTCTCATTCCTCTTCTCCTCTTCCCGTGTTGGCACTTCCCTTCCCACCACCAGTGAGTTGCGGTTCAAGGGGCCGGAGTCCCCCCAAGGGAAGCAGCTGCAGGGGCAGGTGCCATGGGCGGGCATGACAGCCCTCGCGCGCCTCACAGCTCTCGACCTCAGCTTCAACCAGGCCTCTGGCCCTCCCGTCACCCCCGCTGTTTCCGCCTTTTCTGCCCTGCAAGCCCTGTAAGCCTTTACTTCCCTGCAAGCACTGCGAGTCAACGCTTGAGGCGCCCCAGGAAGGACCTGCAGGGGCAGGTGCCATGGGCGGGCAGGACAGCCTTCTCGCGCCTCACAGCCTTCGACCTCAGTTTCAACCAGGCCTCTGGCCCTCCCGTCACCCCCGCTGTTTCCGCCTTTTCTGCCCTGCAAGCACTGTGAGTACACTGAGGTTGAAACGACTCAAAGCTCACACATCACCTTCAATCACGCATCAGGGCCTCCCGTCTCTCCTGCCGTTACCGCCTTCACTGCCCTGCAAGCACTGTGAGTGTTTTAAGGTTTTCACGTCTCAAAACTCAACACATCAGCTTCAACCAGGCCTCGGGCTCATGTACAGCAAGCTCTCAGGTCCCATTCCTGCTGTTCTCGGCTCAACCCTTCTCCCCCTCCCCCCGCTCCGTGCACCCATTTGTCTTCCCCCGTTCCCCTTTACCCCACGGCCCCTCACAGCCAGTTGCAGTACAACAAGCTCACCGGCCCCGTCCCTGCTGTTCTCGGCTCCCTGCCTGCGCTGCAGATACTGTGAGTCATCCCGGCCCCTATGTGCGAGGCAGTGTTTTGTGTTGTGGCGCACTGTGGTGTGATGTGGTGCACTGTGGTGTGATGTGGTGCACTGTGGTGTGATGTGAGGTTCTGCCCAATCCCTCTCCTCCCCAACCTCCCTCCTCCCCAACCTCCCTGCTGCCTGCACCTGTGTCCCCGCACCTGTCTTCCCCCTCCCTGCAGCGAGCTGGGCTACAATCAACTCTCAGGCCCTCTGCCCTCCACCCTCGGCCTGCCCTGTCTGCCTGCCCGCTCTCCTGCCCAACCTGTCTCTCCTGTGTGGTCACTCCTGTGTGTGTGCCCGCACCTGTGTGTGTGCCCACCCCTGTGTGTGTGCCCGCACCTGTGTGTGTGCCCACCCCTGTGTGTGTGCCCGCACCTATCTCCCATCCCTGCAGCGAGCTGGGCTACAATCAACTCTCAGGCCCTCTGCCTTCCACCCTCGGCCTGCTGAATTCTCTGCAAGCACTGTATGTGCTGCCACACACCTGCCACTGCAAGCACTGTATGTGCTGCCACACACCTGCCACTGCAAGCACTGTATGTGCTGCCACACACCTGCCACTGCAAGCACTGTATGTGCTGCCACACACCTGCCACTGCAAGCACTGTATGTGCTGCCACACACCTGCCACTGCAAGCACTGTATGTGCTGCCACACACCTGCCACTGCAAGCACTGTATGTGCTGCCACACACCTGCCACTGCAAGCACTGTATGTGCTGCCACACACCTGCCACTGCAAGCACTGTATGTGCTCTCTGCCAGCTTCCAGAGGCAGTTACCAGGCAGTTACCAGGCAGCTGTGTCAGGCACCTGTGAGCAGCTTACCACGAATTTGCTTGTCTTGACGTCTCCACATGCATGCTTGACGGCCACACGCACACATATGAATGAATGAAAGATACTTTGCACATCGGCCCCCTCTCTCCCCCTCTACCCCCCCGCATCCCTTTCAGCAACATCACAGGTTCACTGCCCGCCTCTCTGTCGCGCCTCTCCTCCCCACCCACCCACCCATCCCTCCCCTCCCCCTCATCCCTCCTCCCCCACTCCAGCCGCATCCCCTTCAGCAACATCACGGGGTCCTTGCCGGCCACTCTCTCGCGCCTCTCAGCACTGAGCTCACTGCGACTCACACAGAACCTTCTCGCTGGCCCCCTCCCCGCCAACCTCTCAGCACTCACCGCACTTACTGAACTGTGAGTGGCCTTGCTGCGGCTCACATATAACCTTCTCTTTGGCCCCCTCCAACTTCTCAGCAGCACTCACCGCGCTCACTGAGCTGTGAGTGCTTGCCTCTCTCTTGCGCCTCTCGTTGCTGCTGCTCACGGCGAATCTTCTCGTTGGCCCCCTCCCCGCCAATATCCCACCACTCACCGCACTCACTGAGTTGTGAGTGCTCTCACCAGCACTGCCAGCACTGCCAGCAGCACTGTAGGAACTCTTGGTCCTGTCATTCTCTCTTGTCCCGTCCACCCCTCTCGCCTCCCCCCACCCCTCTCGCCTCCATCCACCCCTCTCGCCCCCCACCACCCCTCTCGCCTCCCCCCACCCCTCTCGCCTCCATCCACCCCTCTCGCCCCCCACCACCCCTCTCGCCTCCCTCCACCCCTCTCGCCTACCTCCACCCCTCTCACCTCCCTTCATTACACTGCGTGTTCTCTCCGGTGTCCTTCTAGCCGCCCCTTCTGCACGCCGCTCCTTCTAAGCCTCTCTCGCTCTCTCGCCCTCCTCTGGCAGGAATCTGGCGAAGAATCAGTTGAATGGCTCTCTGCCTGCCTCGTGGGGTGCACTCACCTCACTTGCTGACCTGTGAGTGCCGTGTTTGTGCGCGCGTGCGCGCGCGTGTGTGGATGTGTGTCTGTGTGTGTGGGGGGGGGGGGGGGAGGGGCTGTGAGTGGGTGTGTGACGATGTGTGTGTGTGTGAGTGTGTGTGTGTGTGTGGGTGGGTGTGTGGAGATTTGGATGTGTGGGGATGGCGATGTGTGGGTGGACGTGTGGGGATGGGTGTGTGTATGGGGGGGGGGGGGGGGGGGGGGGGGGGGGGGGGGGGGGGAGAGGAAGGTGAGAGGATGGGGGTGTGTGGGTGGTGGGTGTGCGTGGATGGGTGTGTGGGTGGGTGTGTGTGTGTGTGTGTCTATGGGCCTGTGGGTGAGTGTGTGGGGATGTGTGTGTGTGTTTGTGTGTGTGATTGTATGTTTGTGTGAGTGTGAGTGTGAGTGTGTGTGTGTGTGGGTGGGTCTGTGGGGATGGGTGTGTGTGTGTGTATGGTGTGTCGTGTGTGTGTGTGTGTGTATGGGTAGTGTGTGTGTGTGTGTGTGTGTGTGTGTGTGTGTCCCACTCCCACCTCCCCCCACATACCCATGTCCTAACACCCCATGTGCCCATGTCCCACCTGTCCCCACATGTCACACCCCAACACCCCAACGACCCTACCCACGTCTTCACAACGCCTCGTCCCTCGTCCCCCTGTCCCCTTCCCCAGCTCTCACCTTCAGTGGCAAACATCCCTTGCTTCCCCATGTCCACCCCCGCCATCCTTGTCCACCCCCGCCATCCTTGTCCACCCCCATCCCACCCTGCTCCCCCCTGCCCTCCCATGCTCCGCCCTGCTTCCTCATGCCCCCCGGTGCCACCGCTGACGTCCATGCCCCCCCGCGCTCCCCCCCTGCCCCACCATCTTTCCTCCCTTGCCCCTCCCCCCCTTTCCCCCCACCAGCAAGGTGGCGGTGAGTGCTCTCAGCGCCACGCTCCCATCCCAGCCTCATGGAGCAAATTCTTGTCTCTCAGGCAGCTGGAGGAGCTTCCCTCCCTACCCCCTCCTTGGTCCCCCTCCACCCCCACACCAGCAAGGTGTCAGTGAACCATCTCAGCACCACGCTGCTAGCGTCATGCGGAAAGCTCTCTTCGCTCCATCACCTGGACCTTCCCTAACCCCCTTTTCCCCCTGCCCAACCCCCTCCCTAACCCCCTTTGCCTTCCTTCCTGCCCTGCGCCCCCTGCCCACCCCCCACCCACAAGCAAGGTGTTGTCGAATCATCTCAGCGGCTCGCTGCCAGCCTCATGGGGCAAACTCCCGTCGCTCAGACACCTGCTGCTTACTTCGCCCCTT